ATAATACTAGACACCGTATAATGGAAGCCCAATACATTAAAAAGATATACTAGAAAGATTGGTTTATCATAGTGCTCCAAATACTTCAATTTCTTCGAACTTCAAAACGTCATAGGATCTAAATTGGAAAAGAAATAGTAACGAAAAAATATTAAGGAAATCTTTGAAATTCTCTTTCAGAGCTGCAACATGAAAAATAGAATTCAATAACGTAAATTTACTGAAAAAAAATTCCGGTTGAAATGTTGCGTTAATGCAATGTTGGATTTTAATGGGTTAAAATGTAGTACTCCAATCTCTTTTAATTTTTCAAAGAACCATTTGAATAAATCGTTTCTACTTCGGAACGAGTTCATGCGGCGATAACATTGTTTACAAGTTCAACGAGGATTTGCTGAGAAATGTTTAATGTTGCTCGCGAATGCCTGCGAGCCACAGGGAAAGTTAAACACTGGCCTATATTGCGAAGTGTAACTTTCTTTGTCTCACGTTGTAGAGAACTTTTTCCCTCGCCTTCTCTTATTATGCGCTTTGTTGGGTGCTTGCAAATACACACACCATTCCGTGAGATTCCGTGAGATTCCGTAGTACCCTGAAAGAGATTATTCAATACCGTAACCCCTTTAACCGTTAATTCCTTTTCCCGTGAATATTCTCTCTTTGCATGAAACTAGTTAACAATACGGTGCAACGTGTTTCGTTGAGCTTGTTGTGAGGATGTTTTGTCGTGAATTTGTTTAAAATTTTGGAGAACGATTTACGAATCAAACGAACGTTCTCGGAATATTCGACTGAAACGTCGATACGCTATTCATAAGCAAATTTTGTTGCTCTTGGGGACCATTCTTTTGGAACACGTTCATTGTCGAGGACACGAATGGCTTTGTTCGTCACTATTTTTTTTTTCGACACTCATGGCACAGTCATTGTTGGAGATATTCACGCCCTTTTAGCATTAATTGTAAAGTGAAAGAGAAATTTGATCGGACCACGTTCATATTTTGTATAAGTACATAACTTCCGTTTATACGTACACCCCCGTTTAAAAGTATTAGGACAATTACGGAAAAGTAAGTAAACCTGAAAAATCATTAGCAAATTATCAAAACCTTAAACTATTATTATCTAGTTTGTATCCTTTGACTACAAAGAATTCATACGTTGAATGGTACATTAAAAATCTCACCACTGGTGTGTATTAAAATTAAATTTCCTTAGTTTGTGTACTGTATTTGTTATTATTTGGTTCCACTGGTGTTTGTAAATAATTCCACAAGTGAGATTTCAATCTTTGGGCAGACTTCTCGAATTTTCCGATATAATTCATCCCAAATTTTTTCAGTGGAGATTGAATGACGGAGTTGTAGGTGCCAACCATGGGCGTAGGCAAGGAGCCACAAAAAGTGGCTTTTGCCCCATTCTACAAAAAAAATTGGATTTTGCCCCCTCTCTCTTCCCTTCTCAGAGTTATAGAATTTTCACGTAATATTTAATATTACAGTATAATTTTCAATACGACCAACAGCCTTTATTAACAAAACGCATACATTTTCAACGATTTATAGCTTTAAAAACAAAATAAAGTGTCTGGCTACGTACAGCCTTTTTCACTGTAGCATTCGATGTGTCAATATTTTGGCCCCCCTGACTGATAACCTAGTTACGCCCATGGTATCAACACATAACTTTTAATTCATTATTTCTCTGTAACTCTTGCATATTGACTGCCACAGTTTTTACCACTGGGACAATATCATAATAATTTGTTTCTGCCTTTACTATTAATAATCAAACATTTTTCTACGCAATTCTTCATACGTTACGGTGTTTATTAAGTAAACTAAATAAAGTGCCAGTATTAGGGCAACTGGTAGTAATTGGGACATTTACCCTAACAAGATTGAACAAAATTTATATATAATAGTGTTTCTTCTACTTAAGATCCTATTTCTTATATCCCCGAGAGATACGTATAGAATCGAGATTACACGGTAAACGATTACGACCGAGACAATGCCCGAACATGGAAGGGCATTTTGTCGAGCCAAAAGACCCGGGCCGGAAGTCCCGTCTGGCGCGATGGCTTTCCGCTCCACTGATTTCCTGTTTCTTCGGGGGTCTTCTTTTTCTTCTGCGGCGACGACACGTACATACTTACCTACGTACGGCCGCATCTCCGGCGGCTTGTATTCTCGGTAGCTTTCTTTCGCGGCCGATAATCATATCCTCTCTCTCACTCTCTCTCTCTCTCCACACACGTGTAATAATCACAGTCCATCTTTACCTGGCGCAGAATCGCCGATCGACGGAATAGGCGACGTAGTCGCGAGAGGAATTCGTAATGGGCGTCGTCCACGTCTCGCGAGGGAAGACATGTCGTGGTAGCTATGAAATCGGATTTATCCTCGGTTTGATAAACGACGTCCTGTTTTCACGAAGGCTCACTGCGTTACGCTTAATTAAATTTAAAGATACCCTCCCCTCCACCTTTGTACCTAGTTGAGCAAGAATTTCTTTCGTTTTTTGGGAGGTGAGTGATTACGTGGCGTAAGTGACGAACGAAGAAGCTTGGAGGGAAACATGAAATGCCTTTAAGGTTTTTACGCGGAATGTAGCTTCTTATCATGGTGTAAACTGCAATTTTCATACCTGAGAAATGACTATACTTTAAAATGTTTGGTGAACAGTCTTTAATTCCTCTTCTGCGACGCCTTTCGGATGGAATTTAACAAACATGATAACGTGTAGTCATGTAAAAAAATGAGGAAAATATATTATAATAATATATTTAAATATATACAATTGTCTGAATTCGATTGAAAATAGCGCCAAGCGATCCAAAGTCACTGTCGTCAGTTTCTTGATTGTATAGCCTAATGCGCAGTCCACATGCGCTGTAACATTTTTGAGATGCTATTTTTGCCAAGTGACGTTACTTGTTATACCTATACTGTGGTATATTGTACTCTACTTCAGAGAAATTAGGATCGATGAAAAATATATTCCACCTATTACAGGGTTTACCAAACTAAAAATATAATAAATACTTTATCAATTCTCGTTAAAGTGTTCATTCCACAATATCTCGAATATTTATATTTACAATAAACGCGCAAAATCCGCAATTTACATGCGCATTTTCTGCTTCATCGTGCGTATCTAACATCCCAATCCAGAGACCAATGTTGTAGGTTTATAATACATGTACACACACACAATGTCAATATTAAAACGGTTTAAAGTATACCTAGTGCAAAAGGTATTTTTCATAATGTTTATTCAAGTTTCCAGTACCCTTACATGATTCCAGAAAGCTATATTACCATTCTATGCGATCTTACATGTCCTGACGTTGCATTAGCGAGTACTCGAACCACATCCAGGTACATACATACCCTGTGTACGCCTATGTATGACCGCAACCGGAATTTGAATTTTTATTCCAATAACTCGAGAATATATATTAGCGTGACCGTAGACCCAAAAGAATTTTACTGAGCGTTATTTGTAAACGCGTGTAAACGAATAAACGACGGACGGAACATGGAACGTAACGTTGGATGACGCTATCTCAACTACTTAACAATCGAAGCGTTCGAAACGATTGCACATGGCCGATGACCAACACACAGATTATGGTCGGAGTTTGCCGGATCTTTTACCACACACAGTTACAAAGTGCAGGAGAGAAGTCGTCGAGCCGAACCAACGCACGCGTGGTTGCACGTAAACACGCGCGCGGCCCTCCATAGGACTTATGCACTCGGCAGACGTGCCCAAAGGGAAGCCAATTTGCATACAGAGAGCGCAATGAATTCACGACTTTGCGGCCGCGACACCCAGCGTCCGCCTTACGAATATGTTGCTGATTCTCGTGGACGTTTAGTGTTCTCTCGCGGAGTGTATGGAAAATGGTCTTCGCTTCCGGTGCCAGACCGTTACAGTTTCGTTTAATTATGAGCTTCCTCTTGTCTTTCGGGGCAGACAGTCTGTATCTTAAATTTAAACGGGAATTACTTGGTGAAAGTATACCCATAGATAAAGTAAATAAACTAACCTATTTTTTTAAAAAATATTTATATTTTTAAAACTAAGCTATTTTATAAAAACTAACCTATTTTTTAAATAACTGAACTATTTTTTTCACCTTTTCCTTTTTGTTTAATAGAAACTTCATCTATTCTTATTTTAAAAATGTTTTCCTTACTTAAACGATATTGAAATGTTTGGAACGAATGACTCATTATTTAGAAGAGTAGCTAAAGGATAGAATGTTGATTTAACAGGCCCCTTAACAAACTTCTTATAAATCAAATGTCCGCGTCATCGACGTTTCTTTAGGCGATCTTCGACACCGGCATTTAAAAGTGTCCTGAAACGAAAGAATATTTAACATTGACATATATTGATTAATGCTTCGAAATTACAACTACCGTCATCAGTTTATAAAAACACGTAAATATTTGTATTAGCAACATTTTCAACATGTTTCGAAACGAACCTTCAGAGCATCGTGAAATTCGCTCGACGATACGATGTAAATAATGCCAAAGACTGCTGGAAACGTCTTCGCAATGAAATAGAGCACCTCCCTCTTATTGTCTGTACAGCACAACGCATTCGGTTCTATGAAATTTATCGCCCTGGCGATCCGATATGGCGTACGAATCAGAAGGAAAGCTATTACAACCATCACTGCGGAAGAGATCAAATGTCTACTATATTTTATATTCATATGATTTGAATGCAGACATGAAACCTCAACGAAAAATTTGCAACGAGAATTAAAATGAAAGAACCTAGATGCTTAAAGGATCTATTAAGGTGGTACAGAAAAAAAATATCGTTTCCAAACGGTTTCATTGCAGCCATTATAGTTTCCACGAAACTGGGATCAATAACTCATCTTACTTCCATTAAAAATCTTCATTTGAGGTTAAATTATAATCATTACAGCTTTGCAGTTCAAAAACAACATTTATCATGCAACAATCAAAATACTAACCTAACATGACGTAGTGTCGCAACTCTCTCGATCTCCACGATCCCTCGATCGCCTTGAGTATCATCAGCTCGTACAAGATCAAGCTGTCAAGAGCAATAAATATAAGGAACGGCATTATAATGAACATAAATGTGTTCCAAACGTAAATATCCGCCATGTCCCCTTCGAAGAAATCGTATATATGCAGGCCAATGGCGAGAGATATGATACACGAGCTCCAAATCAAGAAAATCCCTTTTATAGCTGTGAGCTTCCTTGACAGTCGTTGGCCAAACACCGTGTGCTGCTGGAAAATATTAATGTACAGCTGAAACTTCATGATGGCGATAGTTATCACGGACACATCGAAGCTGATCAGACAGACGTAATCCATGTTCAGTTTCGTGTTCACGTCGAAGAACCATCTGAGTGTTTCTTCGAACGGTTCGATCAGTATCACCATATTGGAGCACGCTAAGCTGATGAGGTAGAGATTCATGGCGGTCCTCATGGATGATTTCGAGATGATTATTAGTATGACAAAAATATTCAGGCTGGTTCCCAATGACAGAAACGTTAAATTCATTATTCGAGCCGTGGGCAGGGGGATGCTGGACGTAATGATGTTAATTTTCGTGGGACTCGTGCTCTTGGGGGGAGTCGTGGGCATTATGTGAAAAGCGATCTCCATGTTTTCGGGAATGTGTCGTGAAATTCGTGAATGTTTCCACACAATGTCACTTGTTAAATCCATTGGATCGGATCGATGAATTATTTAAATGGTAAATTTATACTCTACTTGTAATCTGTTCAAAAATCAACGTAACTTTCGTTTAACGCGGAAGACATTCGATTGACACTCGGCCACTGTCACGTTGTTTTTTGTTTTTTCAAGAAAGCGTAGTTTTGTTCTAGATTAAGCCACTTATTCGTTGGTATGACATAACACGTTATTTTAGATTGGACGTGTCAACACGTCCACGTTCATTCAGGTACTACGTTAACACTGAACAGGAAGGACGGTAGTCACAGTTCCTGTTTTTACATAATTGTCTTTACACTCGATCCCCTTTGGGAATTTAATGATCTGAAATGTGGGTGGGTCCACTTGGATCGGCTGTGACATTGGCTTACACGCGATTTTTTCATTTTGTTGAGTGCCTTTTGATTGATGGTCAGATGACAGAATTTATGCAATCAATTTTCTTGAGATGAGATGTAGAATTTATATTCTTTTGGTATAATTTCGTTTATATTAAAGTTAGATAAAATACTGTTTCCGTTTTTTGGATAAAAGTTATTCGGAAATATTGTAGAATTCTTAGAGAATTTAAGTTCTTTGATCTGAGTGCCTTTGTGTTGCAGACCGATAAAAACATACTTTTCTGGATTTTCTCAGCAAAGTTCCCTGTTATCTACTGTGTTAACGATGCGTACGTGCTCCTCGTAGTATGTATCTGCTAAGAAAAAACAGTGTTCAGTTACGAAGTACATACTCACATTTAGAGACTGCTATTTATTCTAGGATGATTCTTCAAATTCCAAATCTTTTAATAAAATAGGTAGTTTTTAGTTTCTCAAAGATGAAATATCCTTGTATTTAAATAATTATTGAACTTTTTTAGGGATATTATACAAGTTTCTAAAATTTCTCACTTATAGAGACACGCTTCACAATAATTTCCTCTTCAATTTGGGGCAAATTCTAATGACCAGACAGAAAAGAATTAAAAACAATTTATTCGTATCAGTAGTTAAAAGCTGCTATTTCAGTTCATATTCTAAACAATCATATTGTATTTAATTACAGTACTTTATCGCCATCTTTGACGTAGGATCTAAATTTCCATAGACTCAAGATCTAAAATTCTTTCTTATTTTTTTTTCTATTCTTCCTAATTACTCTCCATCTTTCTCTCTCTCCCTCTGATACAAGCAACAATTAACAGTCATCCGATCCACATTATTGCGCCATAAATTTCGAACCGTAGCTGATAAACGTTAACAATACCTCAAACTCACCACTGACGCATAATACAAGTCGTATTAGCATACAATGTCAAGCCCACTGGGACAGCTTTTTTTTCCCCGCCTGAAATCGTACGAAGGGTGGAGCCTAATAATCATTCTGATTTATGCGATCCGATTCGAAAGTCACTCTCTGGCATCGGTATCTCCCACTGTTCCGCGCGAAGTAACATTCTCTTTGTGCTCCACATGCTCCCGTTCGCAAAGACAAAGGATCACGTGAGTAGGGAAAACCCTTGACCCTGACACCAGAGAGGATCCTCGATATCTCGATCGTCGTAACGAGATCCGACGATCGGGGCCGTGACAAAGATATACATATACATATATTCCACGGCGGATAAATCAATGCTTGTCGGAGCGTATTTATTCGACGAGAGGAGGATCGTGGAGGCGACACGAAGGACAGAGAGGCACCGTAATGCGGTGTCTTCGGCTGCATAATGCAACGAGATAGATGCAGGCCAGAGTGCCTCGAGGCTCTGTCGCCTGGCAAATGGCCACGGGCGCAATATCGGTCAGTGTTCGGCCCTGATAAATTTATCGTGTCCTGTGTTTGTACTGGTCCAGGGGTCCTGCGGTGGACCGAGGGCGGACTCTCTTCCTTCGGAAAGTGGAACGAGATCCGTTCTGTCCCCGGCTATTGTGCACATGGAAACCCTAACAATGGGTTTTCGCGGAGAAAACGGATACCACCGCGAGACAACGGGCTTGTTTCTTTACTGTTCCTTCGTTTCCCGTGAGAGGATCCGCCGAATCGAGAAAGGTCGCGCACGCGTGGTCTGGGAGAAAAGAGTAAATACGGATCTGGTTCTTTCTTTTTTTTTTTTTTTTTTTTTTGTCGCGTTCTCAGGTGCGAATTAGGAGACCTTACAGGAAGATGCGATTGTTTACTTTCCTTTCGCGAAAGTGCAGCGAATGAGTAGGAGGCGTCACTTTGAGACTTTTAGTATGAGTGGATACTTTCTATTGATTTTTTAATTCTCTGTGAAGTGACGACTGTGGTTTTGTGTGTGCGTTAGCTTTTTTAGGCTGTTTAATATGTACGTCAAGTTAATGGTATGGTTTATGGAGAATCATTTGTTTCAATAGCAAAATTACTTTACGATGACCGAAAATAAATTATAATAGTTGATTGATCAGAACACAGTTTGACTGAAAATCTAATTACTGGGAATTTTAAAACCCCATCCCAAAAATTAAATTATTGGGAAATAACACGACTATTTTTAGGTTAGATTTATCTGTATAACATTTGCCAAGAACTATTCTTACAAAAAACACTTCAAGTATTTAACCCTTTCCCAATCAAACAACTTCCAATATGTCTCGTTCACGTTCCTCCAAAAAGGAAATCTGCGCGAAGGGAGGCCATGTACCTTAAAAGGCCCAACTCCGCGCCCATTCTCATGGATATGTCGCAATCCTCGGTCGCAACAGCCACTCCTTTTAGAAACCCAAGAACTAACCGATCACATACTAATTTTCGACTCGTTCTATAAGTTGGGATAGCTTATAAACGTCACACGCGTACTACATCTGCGTTTGACGCTTGGATAATTGTGGTCGGCTCCATTTCGCCCAATTATTTCAGAAGCTTCACGCACCATTCCGATTGAACAGAAAATAACTAAATCATACTGTTGTTTATATCAGCATTTTATACGATCATCAGCATATTTGGAAGAAATTCGTTTCACAAAACGTCTAAAGTCAGAAGAGTAGAGGTCTATCTGGACCAGATATGGGCAAATTCATTATCCAGATATAAAGAGTTTCGAGTAACAAGTAAAAGAGAAAAGTAATTCGTCATTTTGAATTGTTTAACCGTGGAAATTCCAACTTTCATAATAAAATAATATGTCTTCTTGAATGAGTCGATATTTGGCAAACAATTATTTAATCTCATTACCTGTTTAAAGCTCAGGATGACTTCCCTAGATATTGCAACTTTTCCCTATGTATTACTTAAATAAAATTATGCCCAAGTTTGATCTGAACCTAGGCACCATTTTCTATTCGGTCATCAGAAACGTCCGTTTTCCGAGGATCAAAAGAAGCGCGACCCATACCTATTTCTCATTTCATTCCATTGTTCTCGACGTTTAACGTCTGACGAGCGTCTACATCAGACGTTTTTGCGTCTACGTTTGAACGAAGTGTACGACCTATATCTGTTTCTTACCTGATTCCATTGTTTTCAACATGTAACCTATGCTTCACTGGCAATTCAGACGCACGTGTCTTGGCACTGATAGTAAATCCCATCTTTGCTCCTTGGAAGACACTTCGTTCCCGGCAGTAACCAGCGAACCTCTTTCATGGCTCCTTTGTAAATTACGGGGACTAGTGTTCGTTTTTGGTGAGGCCCAGCGTCTTGGCTGCCTCGAATTCGCGCATTCATCCTTGGGGCCAGGTGTGCGGTTCAGTTTTGTGGGTTCTCCCGTGCTTTTTTTTCTACCTTTATTCCTGGCTTCGTCTGCCGGGATCGGGTTAGCTGACGGGGGCGGGGGGGGGGGGGAGAGGGCGTTCGGGGGGCCGAATAAGTGCAGTGGCAGGGCCCACAACCGGTTCGATGGTTCGCCATCGTTACGACGTAACTCAAGCGACCCTGAGGAGAGGCGCTACGAACGGGCACGATAATCAGGGGCCTGTATTATCATCACGAACCCGCTGCTCCTACGAGTTATTATCGCGGGGCACGGTTGAGGTGTAAAGTATTTCGGTCGAGGTGGAACTTCGTCGTACGGCCTCAGGGGTCCCCCACTTTCGACAATGTTGCGTGCCACTTTTTTACGGGTCATTATGCGTTATTGTGCTGATCGCTCCGGGGGGGAATAATGTTGCATAAGGGAATAATTTTGGATTTGAGCGAGTGTCTCGTCGATATTGAGGTTTGATTGGTTGGGGGTCTGCAGACTGGTTTTGAGAGAGAACAGCCGAGTAAGTTTTTTGGTTTTGGTGATAAGAGAATGTGTTGGGGACTCAGCATAATTTTTGGAGGCAAATGTCACGCACAAGGAGTTTCCTTTTTTTTCAAGGTTAATAATTTAGTCTAGGACCATAGAATTTAGCATGAAGGGGGTTCTAAAGTCATTGCCTAATTTCTCCCCTACAGCCACGACCATGTAATGAATTTACCCATCTCTGTCCCAGAACCTACGATTACCAGCCAAACAAGCTTATACTTCGACAAGTTTGACCTACATTTATTTGACTTATATACATACCTCCTGAAGGTTCATAACTTTAATTGTTTATACCTTCACAATTATCATGTGTCTACACCTAATATTTCACATATATCATTAGGAACTTGTATACTATCATCTTACAAAGCCCCGTTGAAATCGAAGTCGGACAGTTGGGATCCTTCCCTCGCAAAAATATCGCTAGTGTCTCGCGAATTTTCCCTCGGTGCCAATCTTCTCCACCTCTCGGATACTGAAGGCTCTTTTGAAGTTTTACACGCGTCGTCTTATTTGTTCCCCACCCCGGATGAAATTATTTCCTCGGAGGCGTCCCGCGGAATGCCAGAGAACGGCTCGCGGGCATAAAATGTTTCTACGCACATGATACTGCAAAAGAAGGATTACTCGCGAGCGGACAGCGTCACCGCAGCCTCGTGCTCCTGCGGCCGCTTTGCTCTCCCGCTTGGCCCTC